TTTTTTTTTTTTTTGCTGAGTGCGCGTGTGTGTGTGCAGCTGGGGTTTCCGTGTAAGCGTGCACACGTGTTGGTTAGAATTTACACGGGCACACCTTGGTTAAATGAAACATTGAGGGCAAGTGCCATTGCCCTCCATCATCTCCTATCCCTGTGCACGTGGGCAACAGTGCTGCATGTAAATTTAAAGCAGGAGTGCCTTTTCACCCTCCGGGATTCATGTAACTGGCTCCTTTATAGCTGTCTGTATTAATCTGGTTGCTTATTATTGTGCTTTCTTTACACCTTTCTCCTCCCCATTCCTTTGCATTTCCAGGGGCTCGGGCAGCGAGGAAGAGGAAGCCTTCGCCAGAACCAGAAGGTGAAGCTGGACCCCCTAAGATCAATGGAGAATCACAGCCCTGGTTGCCAGCCTCATCAGAAGGGATGAAAATGCCCATGACAGCAACACCTTTCATGTCCCCTCCACCACCAACTGCCTCGCCTCATTCCAACCGGACCACGTCGCCGGAGACAGGCCAGAATGGCCAGTCCCCTATGGCTGCGCTCATTTTGGTAGCAGACAATGCAGGGGGCAACCATGCCTCCAAAGATGCCAATCAAGTTCACTCCACCACCAGGCGGAATAGCAGCAGCCCACCCTCTCCATCCTCTATGAACCAAAGAAGGCTGGGTCCCAGCAGGGAGGTGTCAAGTCAGGGGGCAAACACTGCTGGGGGGTTGGAGCCTGTGCATCCTGCCAGCCTTCCGGACTCATCTCTAGCAGCCAGCGTCCCCTTGTGCTGCACCCTGTGCCATGAGCGCCTAGAAGACACCCATTTTGTGCAGTGCCCCTCAGTTCCTTCTCATAAGTTCTGCTTCCCTTGCTCCAGACAAAGCATCAAACAGCAAGGAGCTAGCGGGGAGGTGTATTGTCCCAGTGGGGAAAAATGCCCTCTGGTGGGCTCCAATGTCCCTTGGGCCTTCATGCAAGGCGAGATTGCAACTATTCTTGCTGGAGATGTGAAAGTGAAAAAAGAGAGAGAATCATGACTTTTTCCAGTGTCACGATCCAACAGCACCGTTAACTAAAACTGCTTGAATTGTGTATATATCTATAAATATATAAATATATATATAAATATATCTCCAAGACAAGGGAAATGTAGACTTCATAAAACATGGCTGTATAATTTTGATTTTTTTGAATACATTGTGTTTCTATATTTTTTGAAGACGAAAGGTATGTACTTATAAAGGCATTTCTTCTTTTTTGTTATAGCTACTATTTGTTGTGCTTCCCTGGTGACAGTTACTGTTCAACGTAGGCTGTGACTTGCGCTGCTTTTTTTAGAGAGCACTTGGCAAACCAGAAATGCTTCTAGCTGTATTTGTATGCACTTGTTTCTTTTTAAAATGCCAAATACACATTCTGACATTGTAAAGATTGCCTTACTGTCTGTGATTCCTTATTCTTGGCCCTTACTCAGTTGAGCTGGACGCATGCAGGTTTGATACGAAATGGTAGTGGGGAAAACATAGTTGATAGGCTGAAATGGGGATGTCAGTATAACAGCCCCAAGGCAGGTGAACACTAGAAAGCGAAAGGGGTTTCACTTAAAAACATCTGTTCTCTTGTTGCAATAGTGAATTTGCCAGATTCTAAGTCCAATTCCACCCTGTTGCTCAAAGGAGGTTGCCTTCATAGGAGGATGTTGAGCGGTATCAGAGAGGCACTGTTAGAGTTAGGGATTTCTGGGTTGTCTTTTTTTTTTTTTTTTTAAAGGCAAAGTTGACCATAGGTCATGTGATTGGTTGTAAGATTACAAAGCTGCATTTATTCACTGATTACATAATGTGGACATTTTGATAATGAACTTAATTCTCTGGTGGATATACCAACAATATGCCACTGCCATTTTTAAAGATCCGTAGCTTTTCAGCACTCCTTTTTTTGTTTTTTAAACTGCTTGGGGGCAGGGTGGATAGAGCGCTCTGGTTTTTTGTTATTGTTGTTTTTTTTAATTTGCAGATAGCGCAGGTGGACTTTGAGTTTTCTTATCAGTTACCCTTAGTGCTGTTGCTATTGTTACTATCACTTACATCATATTTCCAGGTAGTGGTAGGTACAGTGTGGTACAATGACAGAAGTGACTGAGGTTCTGCCAGGATTGCCTTCAGGCATATCGGTGACAGCCGAAATGTGGGCGGAGGAAACCTGTAATTTCCTTATTACGTGTGCTTGAAACTAACCTGATTCAGTTCTCTGAAAATGAAAATATAAACTGGTTGAAATGGAAGCACTATTAGGTTTTCACATAATGGGCATACACCCTGCCCTTTTCACCTACTTTGGAGAGCTTTTTATAAAGTCACTTGTTTAGATCAAGCTTCTGCTTTAGCAGGCAGAATTTTTAACCAATAAAGTATCGGTTACTAGAAATAGTTGAGTCTTATAGTGATGTTTTTGTGCTCCTTTTTACAGTTTGCTGGCAACACCGCTGCTTGTATAAATCCTTATGCTTGGGTGCTTATAACGTGGTCATAAACAGTTCTGAGCAAGATGGCGGTCAGTTATAAGGTTCCATCCCTGGGGGGAAAAAATACAGGTTATCATTTCAGAGAGGGGGAGGGGAATTTGTTTTACCAATTGTAGCAGTTTTGGGTACTTTTTTTAGTCAGCTGTTTGTTCTTGTGACAATATTCAGACTGCTATTCGATGCAGAAAAGATCCTTTTGGAAGATTTTGTTTTGTTTTTTTAGAAATTAAATGGTTATTACTAACATTTGAAAATCAGACCTGCACATGCACAGTAATTATTTTTATTCTGACATGTTTAATGAGCACACCCACTACATTGTGTTCCATGTTACAGGTCAATGTAATGTTAGAGAAAACTTGCATGATAAACCAATACATTGGCTCAATATTATGCTTTAAAATTATAGCTGTAGTCCAGACTGGTGTCTTACGTAAACACATATAGACAATTTGGAGAAAACACACACATGATATA